CCATGTGTCCTTTATAGTTGTTCCTGAAAACCCTCCCCACCATTGCCCCCGATTATCCCCTCCCACCTCCCCTCTGGTTACTGTCAGTTTGTTCTTAATTTCAGTGTCTCTGGTTATACTTTACTTTTCAATGCGTCTTTATTTTTTCATACATACAATGTTTTGAATCCCAGTAAAATCCTCCATGTGGCCCCATAAACTGCATCTTTAAAAAGTATTAAGAAGGTCTGAGTTCTAGAAAATTCATGATTTGAGGCCCCTTGTAAATCCCAGGTGTTAATAATTTTTCAAGGTTGAAGGGGACAGGAAGAGATTTAGGTCAGTATCAGCTTCTCCTGTGAGAACACAGTGTGTAATGGTGAAAGGCAACATCATTCAAATGGGAAGAACAAATCTGAGAAGTGATTCTGAAGATCCTAAAATGATGATTGAAGTGGGAGGTGCTGGGGTCAGGAAGTTTTGAAAGCGTCCATGGGCTTGGGTTGCAAAACCTCTTGCTAGATGGGTTATTTCCAACACAGACCTTCCTGTGTCAGCAACTACCTATTTTTCCAAATTGTGCATTCCCAAGAGCACTCTGGTATATACCGAAGTCTGACTCTCCAGTACCTGCAAGAGACCCTCTCATGACTCCCATCTGGTTCGGTGAGCACTCCACCCATGGCCTCCATCTCTAACTCTTGACTTTCTGCACTCCATTACCTTGCTTTTACCTTTATTTTAGATTCATTCTTTGTTTTACCTTTAGCAGACAAAACAAAAATGCAGAATAATGAAGGCTGAATAGTCCAAAAGAAAAAAAAAGTGCTGAAAAGTGAGAAGCTTTACATAGCGGGAAAAATGAATAAGGGTAGAGGATGTGACCACAGACGGAGTGTGTGCATCCGGGTTCAATGGAAAGCTCTCTTTGGCCAGCTTTCTTGCCCTAGGAGAGCAAGCCAGTGGTAGCTGGCTACTAATATTTTACTTTACAAATAGCAGCTCCAGAAAACTCTATTAATATAACCTTGGTTCATTTCTCTTATGTGCTAATGTGCATATTATTCCCATGCCAACAGATACGATTTTCTTGCACAGGTTTGTGAAAGGAGGAAAAAGAAAAACCCTACCCATCATGTGAAAATATAACCCACAGGGTTTGAATTTTCTGCATATTTCAGTCTGTGCTATACATACTTTAATTATTCTACATTACAAAAAGAGATAGTGGTCTATAAATGCATTATTAATGTAGAATATTTCCCTTGTTTTTATAGGCTTTGCCAAAGGCCATATTGAATTTTAAGTTTTGGGTTATTTCTGAGTCAGGAACCTCATACACATTTGGATAAAAGCCAAACTTCTAACATTTATTCTTAACTTAGCAGAATATTTTATACATGTTATTTGGAAAGGCCTCAGCCATTTAAGATATTTCGTACTACTTACACAGAAAGACTAAACTTTGAAGGATCAGTGTCAGTTATTCTGCTGAAAGATTGTTATTAATGATTCACATCTTCTGTCCTGATTGTGTTTGTGGGGTAAAGATGTTTGTTTTTTCTATAACCAAGAGCTCTCTTCTTGAAGAAAAAGTACAATGCTTGAAAATTAAAGCCCTTGGTTATCCTAGGTGTGCCATATTATCTAAAAGTAAGTGTTTGCTGACCTCTTTAAGGGTTCATAGGCTCACAGAAGGGGAAGATTTTCTACCATAATAAATTTATTCTAATGTCCAGAAGTGGAACATAATATGAGATCAGAAGCACCACGATCGCTGAGAGTGGAACAGAAAGAGACCTTATCACCACACCCATGCCTGTCACTTTATAAACGTGGAGATTGTGCCGCAGAGTGATTGAATGATTTCTCTGGGACTAGCCCAGTGTCTCCAATCTGGAAATCATGACTTTTAGCTCAGGGCTCCATTTTCAGTGGACTTCTTATTCGTACTCATAAATGAGTTAGCACTTGTCTCCAGTTTTACACTAGCTTTGTCAGTGACTTATGCCTGGTAACCAGGTCTTGCAAAAGTATAAAGATAGGAGAAAGGAAGAGTAGAAAAAATTAGTCTCAACATGGTTGTCTCAGTTGCTGCAATAAACTCATGCCATTAAACCAATAAAAGGTGGATCGACTAAGTCATGTATCTAAGGAACAAGGGTAACGTGTCATTACCAAAGATGATTTCCTTGTAAAGAATATATATATAATTCTTTTGCACTGTGTATTAGGAGGAGAGTAGGGGAGAACTAACTAAAGACAGACAACAGACTGCAGAGAAATAGATGTTTTGGAATCAAGCAGTCCAAATTGAGGGTTTGAGCTTCTCTGCTTGCTAGCCATGTAACCTTAGAAATAATTACCTAACATTGCCTACACAGTCATGAGGAGTAATGAAATTGTAAATTATAAATGTGCAAACACCTGGCACAGTCCTTGACAATATATGTTCATAATATGAATATATACTCATATTCATATTATGATATGAATATAAATAATATGTCAATATATAGTCAATATGTATATGTTTCCAAAGCTCAATAACAGTTATTTCTCTTTCCTGTAGTGTTTACAACATCACTTAACTGATAAGCCAACAGCTACCTATTGTTCCAGAGGTCCCGTATGAGTCATTCCAGAGAGCAAGGAAAGCATGTCCACCAGCATTGACAGCCTTGTGAATATCACGAGCTAAAATAATGTTTAATAGCAACATTTTCTGAAACTCCTTACAACTGAGTGCACTTATAGATAGAGCCCAGCATTTCCAGCTAGGGCAAGATTAAAGTGACATAGTGATCTAGAGAAGTTAGGGCCTTGTAGTGGAACTGTCGTTTCAGGGTCACCCTCCAAAGTTGAGAGAGGTGGGAGGGGCACTCATGGACAACAGTGCGGTGATTGCTGGGGGCAGGGGGTTATGAGGGGACTAAATGGTAATGGAAAAAATATAATAAAGATGATATATTTAAAAGAGAAGAATAAGTCAAGATACATTCCCATTGCCCAGCTCCCAAACCTCTTTTAGTCCATCTCCTCATTTCTATTCTGTCACTTCCTCTTAATTGAGAAATCACCATTTCCCCCTGGACATTTGCCAAGATGTACAACTGGTTTTTTGCTACCACTTCCCTCACCTTCCCATCCATCGTTCATGACCTCTCCAGGGGTACCTTTTACAGACTTTAACCCGATGCCCTGTGTGTTCTGCTTAGCATGGCCTTCACACCCACACGTTGAAGTCCAGTATCATTGGCATGTTATTGAAGATGGCGTGTTAATCAGCCCATGCCTATCCCAGCAGTATCATTCATCACATCCAGACGTTTCCTGTGTTCCAGTTGTGCCTAGCGGGGGGCTTTGCACCCCAATAAACTATAGGAATTCAAGTTTCCACACATTTGTATACACTGTTTCCTTTTCCAGGGATACCTCACCATCAGCACCTCCCTCTGTTTCAGCTTCACTAACTTCTGATGGTCTTTCAAATACTCACTCAAGTGTTATTTTTTCTGGCAAGTCTTCTCTCACCTTCCTGCCATCATAAGTATATGTTCTACTTGTTTCCTCTCAGGAACACATGGGCCTTCTCTATACAGAATTGTCATTGTTTGTTAACTAAAAGTGCTGTCTCAACTAGACCATGGGTTTCTTGATGCCAGGGAAGCACCCTTGTGTCCTCCACATCTGGGACAAGCTTAGCTCTCAAAAAATAATAGTACACAGGTTCATTCACTGTTAAAATTGCTATTATGTGAGCCACATTAAAAGATTTATGATTCCCAGTCTTTGGTCAGAATAGGTGATCACAGCAAGGAAAGTATTAATAGTAGTAGACAGTTGTGTCAGAAGGTTCTGTTGGCACAGGGAGTGGGTGGGGAGACCGGGGATCCTCTCCCAACATGACATTCATTCCTTTGTGAAACAGTAAGATAGGGAAAGGTCAGTCATGAAATGTTTGTTGGAGTTGGAATGATTTGAGGCCCTCCCCTTGCTCTGAGAAGCAGAAATAAAGAGCCACAGAGGGTTGCCAGCATGAGGCAAAGCTGGGTCCAGAACCCAGTTTTCTTGCTTTCCAATCCAGTATTCATCCATGTGCCTTTTCTACTCTAATGGAACTTTTTTTTTTTGAAGTAAGCAAACAATGCATGCCAACTCTCTACATAATTGGTCAGGCTACGGAGACAGTTCTAACCTGGTGAGTCATGTTAGCACGGAGGGAGATTCCTCTGCTTTCCTTTGGGGCTACAGAACACTTCACAAAAAATAGCTTAGGGGCTGCAAGAAGGTCATTAACTCTGCTCTTTCATACGTATCCCACTGGCACGTTCTCATGAAATGACCTCCTATTTTCCTCTCACTCTCTTTTCCCTGCCTCAAAAAAAGAAACATCCCTGTGACATATGGAAGAGTTCCAACATCAGCCAGTGTGTATATTAAAGTTTTAAATCAATTATTGTTCTAGTGCACACCCTGGGGTTAAGAAAGAAAGAACATCCAGGACTAACAAACCTGATGGTTCTGGCAAAGCTGCCACTCGATTCATGCTGGCATTTCTGGCCTTTTCCTTTTCTTTAATATTCCAGCTTCATTAAAAAAAAGTTAACAGCTCAAGTAGCAATTTTTAACATTGCTATTTCATTCAGTTTCTCCAGGAGACTTCTACCTCCCAGTCTCTTGAGGCTTTCCCAGGGGCACGGTGCCCAGCATTTGCCGACTTATTTGCAGAGACAGCTGTCAGTCTGATAGTGAGTTCGTTGGACCCAGATTATTCCTCACTGGTTACCTTCCGAGCATGGGAGAGACTCAGAGTTGGGTTTGTGAGCACTTCACAACTTGGCCTCGTTAGACTGAGAAAAAAGACAATCATAATAGTCGAGAAACCAAATTACAACTGGGTATAACATGGTGAATTTTAATCTAACAGCTACTCTGAGTTGGACCTATATGAGTATTCTGATTAATACTGCTCTAACTAAAATTCCAATAGTGTACAATGCATGTGGTTTTCTCCCTAGGCAAGTACTGGAAGTCAGTAAGGATGGCGGCTGTGCCAAGGGGCTGTGCTCCAGCAGGGCCTCAGTTGCAAGAGGAGACAGAGACCGTTTCTGCTCTGGCTTCCCTGACGGTGGATGTGGAGCAGCCCTTCGCTCAAGAAGACAGCAGGTATGGATCCACTGTGGGCGAACCATGCAGGTCAGTAACATCCAGGCTCATCGTTAATGTTCGTGAGCCTCGCTCCAGACTTCCCCCCACGTGTCTCCTCCACTTCCACCACCTGTCTTCTCCAAAGCCGCAGATGCCACAGCACATGCTGTCGGCTGTCGAGAATTCATTCATTTGTTTCATTCTTCATGGGAAACACAGAGCTGGAGCATGTGGTTGCAGTTCACGGAGAAATGGAGGGGATGAGATAGATGTGAGAAAAATCACTTCTCGGTGGATAATTTAGTGCAGATTATCATGGAAAGAGCCGAGTATGGGCTTGCCTTCTGCCCTAGTCATCTCTATCTTTCCAGATGTTCTTTTCTTTCTCTCGTCATTTTGAAATTACTGATGTAACAGACGGAAAAAGGGAGAGCGGAAGCTGGAAACACTGCTGGCCAGTTGGACAGCCTAAATACAGACAGGCTCCTTAGAGGTCTGGCCTTGAGGTATGACAACGAGCTGAGGATGGGATTGGCCTTCAAAGAAGAAAGTGTGTAACAGAATGTGTGGACTTGAGTCTGATTTTACCTCACATGATGATAAGACGGGTTGATTTCAATTAGTCTTCATATGGATGCGTATAGCTCTCAGGGCAAAAAAATAAGTTTAACCTAAGATTGGGTTTGCTTATTCTCCTTTTAAGAAATGTTTGTCGGTGTATGCATTTTGGTGTTCATCATCCCATCCTACAGATAATGCAATATGCAGAATTTCTTTTAAGTCTACTATGACCAAAGCCACCACAAATGTACATACATTAATATTGGTGCCTTCTTCGGCTGACTTCAAAGTCACATTTCCTCAATGCAAAAACGACTCAGGTGAGGCTTTGCTAAAGCTCTGCCAGCTTGCACTTTAAACTTGCTTCTGAAAATGAAACCGGACTCCCTCTGTACATAACATCACCGTTAATTACACAGACTCTGCTACCAGTAGATAGATTGGCAAATTTCCCAAGAATGCACAAATTTGAACAGTTTTAGCTTTCTTGCTTTTACTGAATATTCAGAGTTTAATGGATTTAACATCTTGTTTTGGTCAGAGCAGGAGATACATTGAATAAGAGATTTATTTTACTTTTATGCAATTATTTTTTCTTACCGTAACCACTTAAATAGCAGATTACCAGAAGGGAAAAAAAGAGTTGTACAGGGTTGTATTATAAGTCATCATCATACGGGCATCTGGAATGTGAGGAAAAACTTATTTTATGTCTTTGATAATATGAACTAACCCCCTGCCGATCCCAGCTAAGAACTGAACCAAGTTCATAATCCAAAGGTGTTGCAATTATTCCCAAGGCCAAATACAGTTAGTTTCTGTCATTTGAGGGCTATAAACTGGAGGAAACTAGCATCTGTTAGTGTTGGATATAAAAGGAGAATAGCTATTCTTGAAACTTCATTTAATATAGAGAAACGAAGCTCAATCCCAACCTGGGTGAAATGAGTTGTAAGTAATTTTGCCAATTAAATTGTGGAGCTTAGAATAATTAAGACTAATAAGTCATGTTATGAGCCCTAAGAAATGTAAAAGTCTCAGCAGTTGGGCTGGAGTTAGCTCTCTAGCGTGCTTGTTTAGCCAGGTAACCAGTGTGCTCGACTCCCGCTAATCCAGAGGGACTTGACCCGGGCTTCGGTTCACAGTGGTTTTCAAACTTCATCTCGTGGCGGAGAGAGCATGGGAAGGGCAGTGTTTTGACGTCCAGGGGACCAGAGCTGAAGTTTGTGGCCTCCATTCATATTTGTTTATCTGTTTGAGACAGATTGTATCAATTTTGATTGATTTTTCTTGCGGAAAGGAAAATAGTTTCGCTTGAAGTATTTTCTATGGCTTTGAACTCACTTTTTTTTTTCCAGGAGAGGGAAAGAAAAATTATTCTAGAACTGGCTTTTGCATTTCTATTGAACCATGCATGAATTTCATCAGAGAGAGGGAAACCTTGAAAGCCACAGAGCCTTTATTCTCTTCAGGGGAATGCTCTCAGAATTGTCCCCCCGACTCAACAGAGGAAAGAGGACTCTCAGAATGAGATAAAAAGGTGGACATGTTCTGGGGCCCTTGTGATGAATGCAATATTATAAGTGCACAGGAAATTGAGAGATTAGAAAAATCAGAGAGCTAAATGGATGGAAAAGGGTGAAGGCAAGATTCTTTTTATAGAATATTCTTGCCAGTTATTTTGGAGGATATATTGGTGTTTGGAGTGAGATGACTCATTTTGTACTAAGATTTTGGGTAAAGCAGCTCTTTTCCTGGCCAACTCATATCTGACTCACTTACCACTAGTGAATAAGGGATAAAATGCTCCTGGCTAAGACCCATTGTAAGTATTTTTTGTTCATTTTTCTTGGATGGGGGTGGGAGTGGAGATGACAACACAGTGCAAACAGTCATTTCATTTTTATAACTCATTAATGGACCATGAAGAATAAGTTATTAGAAAATGATATGTGGGCACTCATTTGGGGGATGATTGACTGAAATACAGTTTTCAAGACCTACTTTTTAGGTGGCAAAGGACTTGAGTTGGAAAAATGACCGGTGGACCAGCAGAAACAAAAACAAAAGCAAAATATGAAAAAAGCTAAATGGGGCCAAATTATATGTTCAAAGAATATTAAGTAGCTAGGCTTGGTTTTATACAATGTATTATTTTTAAAAGAGAACTGTGATCTTAAAGGTTTGTTTGCCAGGAGACTGTACCTTTTAAAAATGGTGATTTGCATTGGTCAGATATATGTTTCAAATGTTTCTACTTTGAGGACATCAATACTGTGTGTGGGTTTATTCTTGGATACCAGTTCAGGATCTGCTGAAAGTCCAGAAAAAGATCTATCTGTGTAGCCCTAGCTGGCGTAGCTCAATGGATTGAGTGTGGGCTGCGAACCAAAGTGTCGCAGGTTCGATTCCCAGTCAGGGCACATGCCTGGATTGCAGGCCATGGTCCCCAGCAACTGCACATTGATGTTTCTCTCTCTCTCTCTTTCTCTCTTCCTTCCCTTCCCTTTCTAAAAATAAGTAAATAAAATCTTTAAAAAAAAAGATCTATCTGTGAATTAAGACTTCAGGATGATCTATAATTAAGTTGTTGGGAACACGACTGAAAGTGAGGTTTTCGAATGTGAGTTTGACCTCTTGATTATAGTAGGGATCATGTTATATGTATTTTCAATACAACCCAATCTGATTGTTTATTTAATCATTTCAATTTCAAATTCAGGCAACTTTTATCATGAATGAGATGGTTTCAAGTCATTATGTAATACAGAAGCATGAGAAAATATGTGATTCTGAGTCTGGCCATTTTGTTTTTTGAGTAATTATTTTATTCATGAGTATGAAAAAAAGTATAACAATATCCTGGAAAATCCCAAATATCATCTGCTTTAGCTTTGAATGGCCTATCTGTACTGCCAAGGACATTGATAACCCTGTTTTCCCATATCTGAAGATTTGTATAGAACTATAGACCACTGTTAAGAATATACATTCTGCCCTGGCTGGTGTAGCTCAGCAGATTGAGCACCAGCCTGCAGACCGAAAGGTCACCAGTTTGATTCCCAGTCAGGGCACATGCCTGGGTTGCGGGCCAGGTCTCCAGGTGGGGGCGTGCGAGAGGCCACCAACTGGTTTCTCTCACACATCGAAGTTTCTCTCCCTTTCTTTCTTCCTCCCTTCCTCTCTTTCTGAAAATTAAATAAAATCATTTTAACAATACAAATTCATGTCTAATATACTTAGAAAATCAACTTTGATTTTCATCCTTTAGGAGTGAAAGGCTTCTGGAAGCTAAAGTATTGCACAGATTGTGGAGGTTTCTGACTTTTTGTCTCTGATCCCATTATTTTAAACCCTTGTCTGTCTAACTAGCCAAATGTACCAATACAACTTTTAGTCTTAATTTTCATCCAGTGTCAGCAAATCCTTAGTTGAGAGGAGGACTGAGTTTCGGTAAAGAGAACGACAGCCTGTCCCATATCATCTTCTTCCTCCTCTTCCTGGGATCTTCTGTCTCTGTGTTTTCAGTGCCAAACGTGTAGCCTTGCGGCCCCCGTGAAGTCGGACTTCGTATGCAGGGGTTAAATCCAGTGCCCAGTTACGTATTTCAGAGTTCCATTCTGAATTCTTTATTGAGAAGTGTTTAATTTGGAAATAGAAATACAGTTAAGGTGAACCATAACGGAAATGAAATGCATTCTAACGTGAGTTTCCCATCGTCTCATCTTAGTCTGCGCTCTTTTATAATGACCTGCTCACAGTTACAGAGGAAGCGTGGAGTGTGACTCTGCAATCAGCTGCTCTAGATAATAATAATAATCCCCAATGTAATAATTCCGTGGTCAGGGGCAAGGTTACTTATTTCTCTGGGCTTGTTTTTCTTTGTCTTTAAAATGAAGGGCCAATTTCACAGGGTTTTGGGATGAAATGACACAAATACACCTTAAGACCTTAACAGAACCCCCGACGCATAGTGAGCACTCAGTAAAGGTTGAGTTTTATTATTGTTTTCTGTCATGTTTCTTATTCCTCAATTTGCTCTATTTTTCTCCTTCCTTTAATGCATTGTTCATCACCCAGTAATCTGTAATATTAGAATACAGAGGCTGTGCCTGGGCATCTATATGTTTATCTGTTCATAGGTTAAGTCAATAGCATAGTCATTAAAAACAAGGGTTTGACAAATAATCACTAGGCAATACATTGATTCAGTTAGCTGGTTAGTTGACTTAAGGATTTTCATAATGCCAAATACATTGTAGATAATAAACAAACACTTACGGAATGAAGAATCCAAAGACAGAGTCAAAATATTGTAAAAATGGTAACCTAACATTTTGTAATACCTGAGCTCTTCTTATCTCTATTTATGTTTTTCAAAGGAACTGGTGTTTTCGTATTTTTATGAGTTTTTAAAATGTGTATTTTACATTTATTTTCTTTCACAGTCCTAATTGACAATGTTCATTCTCAATTATACCGACTAA